GAAGATTTATCTTTCTTTCTTGATTTCTCTAACTCACTCTATACATATTCCATAGGATTTAAGTCCGAGGAATAGGGAGACGTTTTGATAACTTCTAGACAGTTGTATAAGGACTATAAACAATAGTAAGCAAACATTTAGGCCTGTGTGTTCAAGAGTGCTATCTTGGGAAAACTTAAACATATTTTGCATTCAAAGTTTTTTTGCAGATATTTTCAGATTTTCATTATGGATGTTTATTATATTTATATTAATCCATATTATTTTGGATAAACGCTATATTTCGCATTCCAAACACAGTGGAGCATTCCCAAAACATTGTACCTCCATTACCGTGCATAATATTAAGCAACAGATTTTCCGAATTCTATTCTTAATCCCAATTTTGCCTTCATAGTGACATGTATCCAGTTATGCGGCTTTTGGCCATCCATTTTTAAAAATTTTTTATTTATTTATTTGTTGGTTCTGTTATTTGTCAAAACGGCCTTTTTCGTAATTTTAAGCAAATTAATTTCGTAATTAAGCATAAACTAATTAAGTAATAATTAACTAAGCATTAATTTCTAATAAAGTAATTACTTAAGAATTTTTTAAATTTCTTTATAACATCCTTAAAGGCCGGCATCATAGTCTATACAAGGGCCCACAGGCTCTCTATACGGCGCTGGCGAGTAATTTGAAATTGTTTAAAATAACTGTACATATTAAACATAAATTTAGTAAACATATATATATATAATTTTAAAAAAATGACATGACTCATTTTCAAAAAACTGTGTTGTAGGAAGATTTCGGTCTTAATTTGGTATTGTATTTTAAGAATAAAACTATTGTTTGTTACGTGTGATTATGGCAAAGCCTCGAGGGATATCTGCCTAAGGGGAGGTATGCCTTCGTGGAAGACTTTCTAAGGGAAACTTGCTCGTATACACGTTACACATGGGAAAACCACGAAAACTCCCTTGCAGCCAGCCCGTTCGCGGGATTCGAACCCTCGGACCGAACTACCAGCGTTCAGCGACTTTACCGCTCGGCCGCTGGTGGGCTATTGTTTGTTACGACACGAGCCGTATTTAAGGGCAGTTAAGGGCGTAAAAAGCAGTTTGTAGCTCGTGAGCTGCAATTAGGCCACACTTTGGTGTATCGAAATAGTAAAAAAAAAAGTTAATTATTTATCCATAAAACTAGCAGTACTGTGGAGTCTGATTATATTTTAAAGAATAAATTATTAGAGTCGGCAGCCAATTAATTGAGTTTTAAAGATGTATTAATTTTAAAAGCTGTCTTTTTAAAATCTGCCAGTGCCATTTGCATTTCATACGTTTATTCGCATTAAAATATTTTTTAAAAACTAGAGTCTTAATTCATTGAGTCAATATGAAAACACAAATTCGAATACAGAACTCATACTTGAGTTTAGATCCATAAAGTAAATACAATAGTATATATATGTTCTGTTACAATTAAAACTTTAAAGTTTTATCAAATATGGAAATTTCTTTTATGCGGTCTCACTTAAAGTCTGTTTAAATTAATTTCAGTATTTCTTTCAGAGTTACCGTATATACCCGCGTATAAGTCGAGATATTTTGGACAAAAAAAAAAAGACTTCAAAGTGGGGGGGGGTCGACTTATACGCGGGGCCATAAAAAATTAAAAGAATCGGAAGTTCAAAAATTTCTTTATATAATGCAGTTGTTTTCTTCCCGCACTCAAATTGGACGGCTTATCAAATAAGTCACTTACTTGAAGTAATTTCATGACTTAAATTATGTGACGAACTAATCACAGTTAAGTCACAGTCACATAACGTTAAGTTTCGATAAAACGTACGTATAAGTCTTTGTAATAGTTATTGTTCATTCATGAAACACTTTTGTTAACAGGCGTACACGTCAAAATTTAAAAAAATAGCCCACGCAATAACTGAACAGTTTGGAATATTTCTTTTAACTTTTAAAAAGGGGAAATGCAGATAGATTTTACGTACGCGAATCTTTTCTGGAACAAATTCTAGAATTTTAATTCTAGAATTCTAGAAGAAGGATTTTGATTTTGTTTATTTACCAAAGTGTTTTTTTATCGTATATTTACTTTTTTTTCTCAGATGATTTTGAATAAATGTAGTACTTAAAAAATTTTTTTCGAAGTTTCTCGATCGATTTCGGAAGTGGGGATCAACTTATATGCGAGTTTCTTATTTTCTACGAATTTTTTATGTCGAAGTGGGGGGGGGGGGGTCGACTTATACGCGGTATCGACTAATACGCGGGTATATACGGTAAATCATTTTATTAGTCATTAAATGCATTATAGTGTTACGTACAAACTGCTAATGAAAATTATGCATTTAAAAGAAAGGCCTTAAAATTTTAATGCCTTTTTTTAATATTAATGAATTAGTTTTTATTAAACTTTACCAAATTCGTTAAATTTTACTGAGCATTTTAATTTCAGTTTGAAAATAAACCTGACAGAGCGATATATGTATTTCTTTATGTAATAAAGTGTAAGCAGTTTTCGTCCTCCTGAATGCGTGCATTTATTGTGTAATTGGAACCACGTCTAGTTGTCAATCAGAAATCTGGAGTTTGAATCCCGGCGAAAGCCTAGCTGATACTCTCATGTTTCTTCCCTCGATAAATATCTAAAAGACTCTTCATGGGCGCGTGAGCTAAAATGTAGTAGAAGCTAATTCATCATCTCTTGAATTTAACGATTGGGTCCCTTTCTCCCAACGCTCTTTAAATGGGAAAGAATATAAAGAATTTTCTCCTTCCTGACCGCTTGATTTCGTAGTGTACTTAGTAGCACATGTAGCTGGCAATCAGAATGTGAGAGTTCGATTTCCGGCCAAGGCTCTGCGAATTTTGTGTTTCCTGCTCCAAAACAAAGATAATGGCTCTATAAAATAATTTTAAAAAACCTTTTATTCTGTTGTAATATTTATATAAGAGTAATTTTTGAGTTACATAATTGGGATATAGAAAACTGTAGAAGAATTTCATATCGAGACTTGCCATATGAAGTATCATGCAGCCTTGTAATCTGCATATGACTCATCTTGAAGCACCTACATATGTCAAGAAAATTAATAATAGGATATGATTCATGCAATAGTGCGCCGAGGCTTGATCAATAAGTATTTAATATTGCCCAAGTAGGTGAAATTGTACTTGCGATCGAATTAAGAGATTTAAAAAAATTCCACGAAATATTCCCCCAAAACAATTGACGTTAATATTAGAAGGAAACACTTTCTAAAAGCTATTGTGTTTTCTATCTGGTTAATGCGCGGGCTATATTTTGAATAATGTAAATGTATTACGCTTTTAACATGCTTAGTCAAGTGCATTAAAATTGTAATATGATCAGCAACAACTGGGGTTTGTTTAAGGAAATGGCTATTCACAACACAAAACCGAAAATTGGATTCGTAAATCCTTTCATAACACAAAAGAAATGCTTTCTGACACGTAGTAATCTCTTCAACTGCATTCGATTACCATTAATAACTGAACAGAATAGGATTTGTCACCAGGATGACTGTAAGTTTATTATTTCCACATCCCAATTGACATGCACATCAGTGAACGGGGTAAAAAGATAATAAACAGATTCCATATATAGTGGTGTATGTCATGCAGACATCATGGATAGTATTAAAAAGGAAAGGAAAGGCTATAAAAGAATTAATACTTTTCTTGTTTATGGTATTTTTATAGCCCCGTCATGCAAATGGTCTCTGAATCCACTGATTAACTTGCTTGATGTTTGTGCTTTTATTAATTAGCTTTTTCATACTTCTGAACTTTCATCATTTTTTGCTGTTTCCTAACTACGCAGAAGTGTTTATTGTTTTCAGTAAATGCATTTGTTGTGGTAAGTAAAATGGATTACCGTTTGAAGGGAATGTTTGTGGCAAGCCTCAAGAGCAAGCGATCTTTAGTGAAGAAAAGACATAATTGTTCAAAATATGCAAAATTATCTCATGTATAATTAAAACTTTTCTTTGTTAATTAAGATGTTAATTTACGATTTAAAAAAATCTGAAAGGTTTCAGATTTTAAATTACGTCCAAAGGGGCATTTTTGTGTGTTACCTTTATTTATTAAATATTATGTACTTTGCACGTGAAACATAAAATTCAGTTCAATAGCAATGTCGCAAAATAATTTTAAAATGAGCTTATCTTTAGAATTTCCAATACACAGTTATGCGCGCTGGAGATGAAAAAGTTTTTTTTTCGTATAGTGTTGCCATTGCTCGCTTTCAAATCGTTGAGTTTGTTACTGAAAAATTCGTTAAAGTTTTACAAAATATGAAATCGATCATAAAACAAATTCCAAATTTCAAATTTGGTCTTCCACATGCACATATCCGTAGGAGGATTACGTCATTCAAAATTCGATGTTTTTAACATCGAATTTTGTTTTATAACAATGCGAGAAATATACATACATTTATGCAGATTTTTCGTTATTTATTTTCTCAAATATAATGCAGGACTCTAACATTTGGTGGCAACAGTTTGAAAGGTGAAACGGGCATTTATAGTGATGCAACGCAAAATCGCAAAACGAAAATAATAGTCCTTCAGGAGCAAAGCCCCTTTGGACTAATAATTTCATACTAATTGTTTTTTACCGCGTGGCATCTCTATTTTAATGGCTCATTCTAAATATATGATTTTGTGGCTTATATCTTGAATTCCTTGGGGACTCGTTCTGAAATTAGTAGCCAATCATAACTGTTTACTAAAAATGTTTTAGAGTTAAATTAGAATATGCAAATAAAGTTTTCAGTGCTAGTTTAAAAATATAAGAAACATAAACGTTATATTTAAAAAGTAGCATTTTCCCCCCTTTTAAGTCGATAGAGTTCATTCAATTATAATTCATTTTGTACGAATGAACTTTCAGATCTGCAAATTCTGTGCAAATAAAAATGCTCTTCTTTTCTCTTACAGTTCGTAATTTTTTAATCGTTCTCTTTAGGTACACGGCTAGGCCAGGCTTCAGAATGCTTCGTTTATTGGAAAGATCCTACGACGGGGGATACTTGGGGTTTAAATTTTACTTCGCCGGTCGATGCCAAACAGTTTCGGGATTGTTGCGTAAGTATAAATTCTCATACTGCTGTCATCTCCATTTGCATTTTAAAAAAACAGTTCCTTTTTTTAAAAATGTAATGTGATACTTAGCAAAGACATAGTTAAAAAAAATCATAAAATAAAAAACATTTTTTAAATCTAAATTTTTCGCCTAACATGTACAGTTTTTAATAATTATTAGTTAAAGGGTATAGCTTCCATTTTACTTTCTGGTGCAATTTCTTCCAGCCTCTAGCACTAACTAATAGTATAGATTTGCATAAACAGATTGAATAACTGCATAGATGTGTAATGAAGGCCTATTGCAATAATTCATGAAGTATGTGCTGAAAACGTTCCTAATGTTAGTTGTTCTAATAAAACATTAATGACAATTATGTGTGTATTGTTTGACAATCAAACGAACTGTGCAGAAACAAGTAACCAGTAATTTCTTCTTGCCATTCTTATTAGTTTAGGATGATCCAAAGTAAAATTATTAGGTCAACATTGTGCAGAACGCAAACTTTAAGCATTTATGTACTTGACATGTACTTTACGTACTTTTTATATACTCATGTATTTGATAAGCGCGAATAATTCTATGGTTTGGTTTCCTATCAAATGTCATTAAAATCATAGTATTTATTTTACCTATCATATGCAAACTCTAATGAAAGTTAATGCAAATTACTCATGTTTAACCCCCGACACTTCCAATTTAATGTTAGATTTCTTATTGGTTTTCTCTTCGAGACGAAACCTTGATTATGTTGCAAAACTTTGTGGAATGAAACAGAAATAATTGTTATAATTCCTTTAAATATAATCTTTGATGATTACCTTTACAGCATAAATATATTGGATTAATCTAGGAAGCTTTCTTTTCATTTTTATTTATACTCGAATAAACATAAACTCATTCTTTGACTTGTGTATGAAATACATGATCTCGATTTCATGGGCTTTATCAATTTACCTTCTAAATTATCGTCTATAGGTTTTAATTCCTCTTTATATCCTTGTAGGATACTTCCATAAATTTTCAGCCAAAAATTTCAAGTTGAAATTTTGGACTTACAGAATATTTAGCAAAAGACTTCGAAGGTCATGGGATTGTTGCTTACTATCCGGATTTTGTTTTCTAAGTTATTTTTATATTTTAAATGTTTAATAAAAATATTAGCATTTCTTGATTTATTTCTTACTGCTCTATTTTATGACCCCCATCATCTCTAAAACACGCTTTACTCAATTCATATATCTGATGCTGTTATTACTGTCGTAGTATTGAGTAGCTTGACATTTATTCGTGCAATGTATCAGACCAAGCAAAAATCATCTCATCGTATTTATCTCTGCTAATTAATTTTTTCATTCTAGTTTTTGATTACCTTGTAAATAATTGGTGGAGAATTTAATACGATACATTCCGATGACCTCAGTGATCACGTGACTTATGTATAGCTAATGTAAATAAACAAGGTCATACTTCCTCTTCTTCTCTTGAGGAATGTATCTTATTGTGACATTTTTGCTTCTGATAAAAATACCAGTGTTTACAGAATGTTTGAAATAAAGGTTTCCGTAATTCGTGATGTGAAGTTAAATTACTTTTATAGCTAAATCTCTGTATGATTTACAACATTTTATTCAAAATAAGTTTTAAAAGCATTTACAGATTTTTCTCTCTGCCGTTTTCATGGTTTTTGATTTTAGACTTGTTGTTTTGTATTTGCACGATAGTTTTGCTGGGAATTTAAACTTGTAAACCTGAGACATTTCTATTTGCATGATTACAGTGAGCGCTTAGAATATCAGTGTTACTGTGCTGTAGTATAGGTTAGGTACATAATAGATTTCTCTCTGTCATTAGTTGACTTCACAACTGATTACGATTATGTGAATTTTTAATCTAATTTTGCTTGAAAATTTTTTTTTCTGGAATAACTAATGCTCTTACTTTACTGCTACTAAGAGATAATGTAATTGTAAATAGTACAGTGGCATGTATATTAAAGATGTGAAATTAAAATATAACATTACCTTGAAGAAAAAGCTGTTCACTGTAATTTGATAAACAATATCATGAATATAACTTCACGAGAAACAAGCATAAAACCTAGGTAGGGAATGTAAACTGGAAAATGAAGCAATTTCTGATACTATAGTAGTGCATAATTTTTTTAAAAATAACGTTAAGAGTTACTAATGCAGCGGTTGTCAATCTTTTCTCCGGGAGTCGTTCCATTTTCACCACATGTCGTAATGTTATATCTCCTAAATGGTTTTATTTCAAGTAAAGCAATCAAAATAATATGGAAAACAGAAAACGGAATGAGTAGAAACAACAATTATTATTATTAATAAACGTAATTATAATTAATAAACGTACAGTATGGTCATAAATCATTGAAAGAATTTCAGTGGCGAATAGTGATGAAGTGAAGATGAGCATGCCCATTAATATTAAAAGTCAAATCACACAGCAACTCAAACATTTTTTAACTTGTAAGTTAAAATGTAAAGCAATTCAATTCGTTTAGTGGTCTGTATAATATTACACTAGATATTCAATTTCTCGCTATGTATTCCCAGGATTTGGGGCATTACTCTTTTAATGATTTCAGAAATTCGTTGTATGAATTCAATACTGTTGCTTAAACATGGTCTTTCGCAAATTCCCACTAAAACCTTACAGGTGTTGTGTGACCCGAATTCTTGATCAGATCGATTTACTAATGTAACACTTTCAGATATCTTTATATGGGCATTGTTACATACCATGTTTTTGCGATTAAATTACGTGACACTGAATTATAAATTACAGAAGTTACGTATTAGAACGGTAACATTGGAAATACTGAGAAAAATGCCGTCTAAGTTAAAAAAGCTATTGGAATAATGTAGGTAACATACAACAGGCACTATTTAATGTAATTTGAAATGCTGCATAATATAAATGGATATGTTCTTTAGATCGCTTAATATTCATCAAATTAATATTCACTTAATATTTATTCAAACTCAATAAGTTATGCTTATTTTATATGTTATTTATATAACTTTTGTTTTAAAAATTATGATTGTATTTAATAAATATAAATTAGAAATATTGTTTTCGCTGCACTTACATGAAACTTATATTAAACATTTTAAGCCAAACTCTGTCTCGTGATTTCCTATAATTTGGGTCACGTTGTGGACACTCTTGACCGTCAGCCTTTTGTTATTTTGAGTTTATTAATCTGAGATTGCACAAATTCTCCCAAAAAATTGTCAAAAAACCGTATATTAATATGTATTATTAAATTTCCTATTGGCACAGTTTATTTTGTCATGATACTAAAAGTATAACATAAAAGCCGAAATATTTGCAATACTTCTTATTCATTGACTCTGATATTTAATTTTACTGTAAATACTGTAATGTTTTAAACATAGCTAAAGAATTTTTATTATGTTTAATAGCTGTATATTGCATCATTAAAATCTAGGTATGTTAAAAAAAATAAACCGATCTGAGAAACTAAAATAAAAGAGGGGGGACTTATCTTCCATATGTCATACAGAGAAATAATCACTTATTTTTGCTTGATATCATCATTTTTCTGAACAAACATAACTAACTAATGGTGATTCTTACTGGTGAATTATATATTTTATTTTTGCGGTCTTTTCCACTCTAGATACATAGTCATAAATTATTCTTACTACGTGTGTTTCTTCTTTTATCTCTTTTCTTTCATTCTTTTTTGCCAAATGATTCGCGTTTGTGTGCTACGGTTTTAATTTTGATTCAAGTATCACTTGTTCTTTCTAAATTAAAAATAGTTTTGCAATAATCCTGTATAATTATGCCCTTTCTTACGAAAATATTTCAACATACTTTAAAAGCCAAAATAAATATATATCTACTTCATAATTGTCATAGTTTATTTGCTATTTTAAAGCAATAATCAAGAATTTAATACTTTTCCATTTATTTAATGATAATGCTTGTTACTAAAAGATAAAGTATGATTTAGAGTTTTAATTTGAAAATAAAACAGTAACTCGATATTTTCAAGTCTCTTTGATTCTTATATTTTCCGTATTAGAATTTAACACTCTCTCTTTTTTTATATGAACAAATATTTCCTAATAGATTTTTATTATAATGTTTAGTTTGCATTTCTGTAATCTTTTAACTTTTCGAAGTATATTGAATAATTTATCGCAAAATATCTTATAAAGTGAGATAATTTCATTTGATATGTTGCATTCAAGTACTGTTAAAGACTATATATTTTAGCATGGTATGGGTTTATAGCAATCTTCTTAAATAAATAAGCCAAACGAATAGAAAGAATTTACTGAAAAAATATAATATCTGTTGCAGGCAAGATAAATAGCTATAAGTGACCATAGCAGAAAATCGAAGGAAAGAAAAATTCTTTTCAAACCGTGAGGAATATTACATACTACCAAAACTGCTGGCAGAGCAATGTCTAAAGCAGTATTTAAAAGCATAATTTTCTTCCTCAACCCTTTTACTTTTTCCTATATTATACAGCATACAACATAATCATAATACAAATAATTGCACATAAATAACTTAAAAATAACAGAGAGACTAAGAGCTGCCCAGACGGTATAGTGGTTAGGGAAGCCTGACTGCGATACTGAATGGCCTGGGTTCGAATCCCGGAGAAGGCATGGTTGTAATTGTCCGTCCCTTCATAGGAGGCGATGGTGGACCACCTATTGAGTTCCTCCGTAACAAAGAGACCACTACATCTGGCTTTGTATAGATTAATGGGCTGTGTTACTCTGTAACTGTTCACAATCTACTATTGGAAGAAAAATAAACAGAGACTAAGAATAGAAACAAAAATTCTGTAAAGTGATTTATTAAATTTAGGTTTTAATATTATTATTGTTATTATTTACAAATAGAAAGAAGAAAAGTTTTCAGAAACAAAATCACACATTCTAATTGCACAAAAGTTCGATTTTTATGAATATGATGACTGTACTTTATG